CTGAGTACTCCACTAGCAGGTCCTTTAGGTGAATGTATCTTGTGAAAAAAGAGCAAAATCTGTAGCTTGCAGAGAAAGACTTCTCTGGCTCCATCTGCATGTCCACTGGCTGAGAACTACATACTCAGTGATAGAAAACTGTACACCATTGATAAGACATCTCATGGGGAGAAGCAGAAAGCAGCATCCTGTAATTTTGGCAAGAAGAAGAAAAAAAAATCAAGAAAAAAAAATCTCCAAATCATTTTGCTCGTCCCTATTGTGAAAGTGTTCATGTCACAAAATTTTACACTGTGGCTATACGCCAATATCAAGTCATGAAGTTCTGCATCTTCAAACTATATGATAATTTCTGAGAATTTGCACAATGTAGGAGAAACACAAACCACCCCAGAGCTCCAGCTTTCAAGGGAAACTAAGGAGAACAGAAAGTGCTTGGATCTCTTTGTACCCAACACAGCAGCTTCACTGAGATACCATATTCATTTCTGGTTTCCTCTTATGAGGTTTATACTGTACTATTAACCCAGGAGTAGTTCACAGTGTTGAAGCACCAAGCCAATTTTGGATGAAAAAACAAAGGAAACCGGCTATCTCTTGGTTGCGACAGTCTTTATTTTTGGAAGGAGGCTGCTGGACTCACACATGCGCCCCAGTGGTGCTTGAGCTGCACCCTGTGTCAGATTTGACCCTCTATCAGCGAAAGCAGGTGGCATCTGCCTTTAAGGTTAAAGCTATAGAGGAGGGGCTGTGCATGCTCAGTATCAAACCTAGGTCTTGTTTTCCTCAGGAGCTTACAAGTTTTCCCCAGTGGTAAGTCCAACCTGAGTGTTTTGGCTTTAGCCCTTTCTAAGAAAGATTGTTTGCAGTAAAAGGTGGCATTTTGGGTGAGAAGTGTTGCTATATTGCAATAGTTGAGTTTAATAGTTTTCTGTCATTGTTTCCTGGTATGGAAAGTGGTTTGGGGTTTTTTTTGTTTTGTTTTATTCCTTTAATGTCTTCGATGTGGAGGTAGAAAGGGGGTAAATGTGGTGAAGACTGGAAGAATGTGCTCAGACTGAGCAGTGGGAGCAGAAATGTCTTGTTTTCCCTCTAGTTTGTGGTCATGCTGGGCCAAGCATTCGGGGCTTCATTTCCTCCAGTGTTGGGACCCTCACCTCCAGAGAAAGGCAACTGTAGTGCAGATGGGTTACAGCTTATGAGAGGCAAATGCTGTGCTTGCCAGGATTATTTGGTTTGGCTGTTGGTTTTTGGAAGGGTGGGTTGCTTTTTTTGTTTGGTTGATCGGTTTTTCGTTGTTTTGGATTTTTCCTTGTTAAGTTTAACATTCCCAGCCTTCTGGAAGACTCTGAAATTGAGTGCTGTGTGGACACAGCTACAGGGGCACACGTCTCTGCTGTATTTTGCAGAGATCTCATCAGTGAGATGGCAAAGGGGATCAGCTGGGACACATCGCCACCGAGGGGACTGTAACACAGCTCTTCTGGGGGAGTGGTCAGGAGGCAGCAGAACAATCAGTGTGTCTGAGGCTTCAGCCCACCTAGTGAATCTAGAAAAGTGCTTTCACCTGGAGTCTGGGCTGCTCTTGCTTCATCAAAATAAATAGGACGGAGCTGAGCTAGATTTTAGTGGGAGTGCATTGCTTCCTGAAACTTGGGATTTAGTGGTTCAGGAGCAGCGTTCCAGTGCTGCAGGAGGAAACACTGCTTTTGGTGAGGTCCTGCTTCTCGGAAAAGGTTTAACTTGCTATTAATAATCCCCTGGTGGTTTTTGAAGGAGGGACTTGTGGATGCAATGTCCTGTTCAGCTTGCAGTTTGATGGGGGCTGTAAATCCCCCTGTAGTTCTAGTCTGGTGTAGCTAGTGCTCTCTGCTTATGAAAAGCAGCCTGCTAGCTATTTCAGCAGTTGAGGTAGGGACTTACCTTAAAGTAGAAACACATTAGACAAGACTTACTACCATGCATTGTTCTATTGTAGTCAGCAGTTTGGTATAAGAGCCTGTGTTCAGTAGTGCCATTTTCTACTATGCCCTTTGGGACAAGTAGATGTGGCTAAAAGGGATGTTGCTTAAGTGCCTGTTGATAAAAAAGTAGCTGATTGGTAGAACCAATTTGAGCAATGCAAATGCCTGAAATCTTGTGATTAATTTTCAGTAAAATAATCATTGAGTGCCTAAAGTAGAGCATTTGCTGATGTGGCAAAGGACAGATAATTAGTGACATTTATGCATAGATTTTGCTTAGGCTTTAGCTGTTATTTTCCTGTGGAAATTCAGGCACTTAGGTATATGTTTAGTAGACAGAGGCTGCTCCTTTGTGTTGAAAAGTGTTAAGGAAAATGGCAGTAGGTTTAGGTTTTATTAAAATTACAGGAAAGAAGACATTTTATCTTGCACGCAGGTTTGTGCTCAAGTTGGTTTTCATGCAGCTTGACAGTCCTTTCCCACGTGAGAGCAGGATGGACCAAACTGAGTAAAAAGCAATGCTGGCCACTTCTCTAACGTCCACAATGTTATTACAGCTGCCTTGCCAAGGTGGGCTACCTAATCCTGGTGCCTCCTTTGGTGATTGGCTGGGTGCAGGGATAAAGATGAAGCAGCTGGAAAATATCCCTCTCTGGAGAAATTTGGAGTTGTGTTTGGTAGAGGGAAGTACCAGCAGTATCCTTAGCTGGTGTTATCAGTGTGTGCAGCTTATACCTCCTGCCTCTCCTGCACTGCAGGCTGTGGGCACTGCGTGTTTTGGGGTAGGTTTATAGTATTACTGCTGAATGGGACCACCACGGCCAGAGCAGGCAGGGTGAACTGGGTTGCTTTGCCTTTTTGACACAAAGAACTTTGTCCAGCAGTGAAACAAAGCTGGGGCATGCCGTGGCATGCAGCAATCTAGTTGTAGTGAGACTTTTCAAAGGCAAGTTCTCTGAGGGAGGTCTGTTTTGTTATAACTCTTTTTCTGTTGAAGTTAGTTCCTGTTTATGCAGTAACAAAAAGTGTTCAAGTCAAGAGCAGTTATGATAAGTGGCAAATAATTGTTAAAAGTGACCACTCTGGTGGCTTGGGAGAACCCACTGTGGGGTTTCTCTGCCCATTCCTATGAGGTCAGGACTGAGTGCAGGGTATTAAGCAATGCCTGAGGTCTGTGGGTTTAGGGGCAGGGCAGGTTGCAGAGCACGTGCTCCCCCCACTGTGATCCTTCAAAGCTTGTGGTGGCATTGAGTTGCAGCTTAAGTAGAAGGTTTTAGGCTGGATATGTTCTTCTGGGTTTCAGTGTGGCGTTCTTGAAAGTGTCTTACCAGACTGAAAGCCTGAAAGGAGTAATTTCTGGTACTTTGTGGGATAACTGCTGTTCTCAGAGGATTTGTGATTATTCACACGTAGTGTGGCTATGTGCTCACATCTGTGAGGCAGAGCTATTAGCTGTGATACTTCTGCATTTTATTTGTCTCTGGCTGTTCTTGAACTTTTAAATTATGTTATTTTGGGGGTTTTTTAATCACAAAAAGGATAAGGAACTGAAATGATACTTTTACCTATTTTGAGGCATGCCCAGCTTTGGCTCTGAGGGCTTAAGGCACTTGGATTTCCATTAGTTTAGAACAATGGTCTGCACTTTTCTAAGAGCATGTGGTTCTGTGGACAGCAAAGGTGAGGAAAACCCCACTATTTGCAGACTGGAGTTGTCCTCAAAACATGCCAAGTCACACAAATTCAGTCAAGAGAGCTAGATCCCTCCCTGACAGCAGACAGAAGTAGATACTTCAGGAAAAGAACTGTAGTGTGATCCTCCCTCTGAAACGCTCTTTCTTAATTTTGGCAGCTTAATAAATTAGGGTCTTCCATGCAATTTGTTCAGACCGTTGTGTTAAACAGGACCAATATGTGCCAAATCAAATATCAGTCCAATTCTTTGGAATCCAGTTACAACCTTGGCTCTTGCCACCGCTGTTTCCCTGGCAAGAAGCACAGCCATTTGCTTGCATTGTGCTGAAATAACTCTGTAATATGAAAATTTGTCAGGATGCCCCCAACCCTGTAGCAGGAAAGGTGGTCACCTGCCTCATACTCTAATTAAAGTTGAACTGAGAGTTTTTGTCAACTGCAAATATACTCAAGAAATTCCTCCCACTCCCCTTATATTCTTGCAGCCGTCAAGTATTTTGACATGGGTGTAAAAGCTGCTGTGTTTGAATTTAGAAATTGGCCAGTAGGATGAGAATGTGCAGCTGTGGAAGGCATGAGTGCTCCAGCTCTGTAACTGCTTCTCTTGGGTCCACCTATTTCTGTGAGGCTTATGGGAGGTTAAGGGGATAAAAATGGCCAAGGTAATTAGCAGATATGGTGGAAATAGTGGGTCAGGCTCAGAAATTGTTGGAGGGGCAAAGGCAGTAGACAAATAAAAATTTTGATGTGATGGAACTTATTTCCATAGAAAATAGAACAAAAATATTATTATTATTATTATTTAAATTTTTAAAAATACTTGGTTTGAGACTTCAGCTGCAGTGGCTGGGTGTAGGAGAAGTTGCCTAAATCATCCAAGGGCATGCCATTTAGAGAGGCAACCAACCAGGGACAATGAAATCACACACTGCTGAGCTGCTTCACCTGCTTCAAAGACCACCTGCTTTATATGGGAAGTCAATTATTTTGGGGTAAAAGGGAAAGTGGATTTTTTTTCTCTCTGGGATTCTTATGATGCAGCATCCCAGTGGATTCTGAGGTATATTTGTTATAATATATAGGGATAACTTATTGGGAAGGTTGGCCGAATTCCCTCCCCTCTAAATACAGCATCTGCAGCAGTGTGGAATGTGTGTTGTACAGCTGTGAATGTTCCAGGCATTCAACATGTCTCCTTTTTCACACAATAGCTTCTATTTATGGGTTTTCATCAAGTTGTACTCATGCATTCAACGTCTCTGTGTGTGTGTTTTTCTCTTTTTTTTCTTTTTTCTTTCTCCCTTTTTTTTTTTTTTTTTTTTTTTGCTTTTTTTTTTTAAGGTTTGTAGAAACTCCGAGCCCCTTCTCCTGGAAGGAGAGTTACTATCGATCAGCCATGTCCCAGGGCTCACAGCCGAGGGAATTCCTCAGCCCAGAGGTAATCCAGCATCTCTGGGACTTCCTGGAACAGTAAGTAGCCCTTATGTGGAATTTATGAAAGGTGTTTTAGGACAGGATGCCTCTATAATTAGGCTGCTCAGAGGATTGATGCTGTGGGTTTTGGAGCCTTATGTACCTGTTGATTAGATATGGATGTGATGATTATATGTATCAGTCTGTGGTGACTGACAGCTCTTGAGCTCTCAAGAGGCTCTACATCCAGGCTATGGGGACCAAATGCAGTGATCAGCAGTGACACAGACTCTCTTCAAGACCTCTGGTGGCTGAACTGAACACTTTCTAGAAAGTGATCATCTAAGGCACATGGTTGGCATTTTCCCCTAAGGAAATGGGGTCATTACTCTGTGTCCAGGCTGCATGTTTTCCTCTTTTGCTGAAGCCAGGGAAGGAGAGGAGGTGAAGATGGTGCAGAGTTCACCCTATCAGGTCCACTGAAGGAAATAAAACTGACTATGTTCCCATTCCTGACTTGCCATGACTAATGCTAAAACAGTTACTGCTATAAATCGTCCGTGAGTTCTGTCTTTCAGTGATTTAACTCTTGCACTCTTATCTCATCTTTCTGGTCAGGCAAGTGAAATATCCCTCCAGGCTGTGTCCTGGTTTGGGGCTGATGCAGTACAGCGGGTGAGGAGATAGCTGTTCATTAGTAATGACTTACTTTGTCATGAGACTGGTTCGTGGTTATGCCGAAGTACTGGATGACACCCTAGCAGGAGGGATGGGAGGGGAAAGGTGGGGTGGTGGAAAATGGAATTTGGCCGGTTTTAACTTTAGTACTGTGTTCTTTTCAGACCAATATGCTCGGTTCAGCCAATCGATTTAAACTTCATCGATGGCCCATCTGAAAATGGCTCTACAAACAAAATTGAGATTAGCATGGACTGCGTCCGGGTGCAGGACACAGAGCTGAATGACCCCATGTGGGTGAGTAGTGAGACCTTTCTTGACCTTTGGGGAAACATGGAGAGTTTCTGCAGGAGCAGTTCCAGCCGTGCTGCCCCAGGGCCATCTTCCTACCTTGGCTGACTCCTGACCTGCTCTCCTTCTCCTGTCACAGCAATGGCAGGAGAGAGGGACGAGGCAGCTAAACTGGCAGGAGAGCTGAGGAGTCTTTCGCAGACTACTCAACCATCCCTGCGCTCTCCCTGCTTAGAGCTAGTTTATGTGGCCTCAAGGTTAAAATAGTTTGGATTCTAGGCCCAGTTGCAATTTTGCTACCCAAGACCAGAGGGTCTTTACTGGATTTTGTTTTCTTGAGGGTCATATAGGAGTGAAAACTTTTTTCCAGACCATGGTTAGCTTTTTTTTTTTCCTCCTGTTTCTCCAGACTAGAGAGTGTTTACATTGAGTCTTGGCCATGGGTGTCTCATCAGAATGGCTCAAGGCTGGAATGCCGATGAGGCACTGGTGGTTGTTGGTTCGTTGCCTTTGGCACAAACAGACTGGCTCTTTCTTAGCAATAGCTCTACTGAAGAAACCGGGTGCTATTCTTGCAGGCTGGAGCAGGAGGTATTTTGGGAGTCTGAGTTGTTTATGTCCTGTTTCTGTTCTTCCTGAGTTTTGTATACTTTGCGGTAAAAATAATGTGTAGTTTGAAATTTGTGTTGGTGTCTGTACATTTTCTTGTTACGCTGTTCCTGAGAAAGTGTTGCCATTTAATTCCCTGGCTCATCCACCACGATTTTCAGTGTGCCCAACAATGGTATGTTGGCAACTTGAATCCTGGTAGTGTTTGTAACCCGGAGGATTGTGTCTGCAAGCAAAGAACTCCTGGGTCAGGCTGATTGCAGTCCCCAGTGACAGTTTGACCTGTTAGTCCTGCTTTGGTGTGACTGCAGGGGAGACTGCAGTGCTTTTCTTTTTCCATGGAGGTTGCAAAGGGTTAAAAGGCCAATTTGAGGTTGGGTATGTGCTCAGCTAATGTGGTGAAGCTAATCCGAGTGCACAAGGAGAGGTGACTGACATTAAGTCTCGTTATCTTTTGATTCTGCATTTTTGGGGGCACAGAGGGGTGGGGTGCAAGCCTTCCATCGCATCTGCATCTCAGCTTTTTCCACCACTATAGCAAAGCTCCAATGAAATGTTATCTCTTCAATGGGCCAAAAGATTCTCCACGTTTACAGGGACTTCTGATTTTCAAAATGCATAGTAATTATCTGCTTGAACTATATCCTCTTGAAAACAATCCCCACGAGTTTAAAGGTCACCAGCAGAAACTTTGCTCCTTCCATGCTCAAATCTGGACTTGTGGCATTGAGCACTAACAAAGCCTTCCCATCTCCAGCTCCTCCAAGCTGCCTGCAGAGAACAGTGATGGCTGATGGGCTCACTGAAGGCCTGTTCAGAGTCTCCCTCTCCTGTCTGTGGAGCAGAGAAACATGAATGGAAAGTCCCTTTCCCCTGTCCTCTCTGAGCCCTGCTGAAGTGAGCACTGGTGCTAGGGAAGGACACAGGCAGCTTTCTCTATGCAGTAACCTCTTGCTTATGATGGGCTTGATTCCAACCTTGCAGGAGGCATTTCTGGAGAAGTCAAGCTGTACAGCGACTTCTTTTTAAGAAGGGTTTTTCACTGACGTGACATGCTGAAGGGGGAGCAGAGAAATTCCATCCTCACCCTTACTGTAAGGCACCAGCTCAGAGTACATTAATGTATGTACATTAACAAATGTTCCAGTTTGTCTCCAGTGGAAGACAGCACCTTTGCTCAGTTGAATGCTGGACAAAAGCCTTCACAAAGCAAAATATGCATCGCAAACTTGTGCAAACAGCCCGTCTTTTAAAATGAGGAAAGCTCTTTTTACTCCCCTTACCACCACCACCACCTCCCTATAAATTTGCAAACATCCCTGACAGGTGACAACTCCCCTTGCAGAGAAGTCTGTGTTTGCTTTGCTGTTTCTGGGGCTCAAAGCGGCTGCAGCTTGCGTTAGCAGAGAATGTGTAGCCTGAGGCAAGGTGTTTGCTTTAATCTGAAATACCTTACAACCCTCTTCCCCTCCAGCTTCTCTTTTCCTTTGGATAGCTTCAGGGCACGAGCTTTCCTTGCACCTGTCTCTCCTGTAACCTCAGCCATGTCACTTCTAGACACGAGGTGCTGCACGCAGCTGATTGCAGCAAAGGGTTGAAGAGGGCAGATAAACACAAAGGAATGCAGCAGAAACAGAGGGGCCCTGGGAGATGAGCACTGAGATCAAGGCAAAGGGCTTTATAGTATTACATTTGTCTTAGCAAAAGAGAAAGGCCAGCTTTTCTCCAAAATGTATCACCATGTGAGATTTAAATGGGTGCAAAGCAATTAAGACTGGTGTTTTTGAAGCCATTGTCCTTCTGTAGACTTTGAGGCAATCCCAATCAGCCTTTAAAATAAGTTCTGCACCTTCTTTCAACTTGCTTCTGAAAAATGAAACTTTGTCTTAAAAGATGTCCACCTTTGATCCCAACAGTTGTGTTGGTAAGACCTGTGATTTTTTTCTTATTATTTAACTTTTGGGGGTACAGTTGTTTGTTCACGATAGAGTTGGCAGTGGGGAAGGAGCTATAGTGTTCAGAACAGTGCCTGAAGAAACTGTCCTACCAATGGGCTGGAAACTGAGCATAAGTTCTGCCCTGGTGAACACCCATTAGTTGTGTTCATTGCCTTGAAAATGCAACTGTTTAGAGAGAGAACTTGAGAAGAGGGATGGTTGACACAGAAACCCCTCTCATGTGAGCCACAGCCCTGTCTCTTGCTGAGCCAAGCCCTGGCAGTTCTCACACACTTGTTTTTAAGGAAGAAACATTCTTCCTGTGTCCATACAAGAAAGGGGTAAGAGAAACTGGTGATCTGTACTGTCTTGGGATGAAAAGAGCTGGAGGGGCCAGGAAGAGAGTTTGTGGGTCTGGTGTAACACCAGACAGTCAGCAGCCTTCCCTGGCTGTGTGCCTTGTGACCAGCTCTTTCACAATGTCCTGGGTGGCCCCTCCATGAGGCTGTTGGCTGTGCCCCTTCCTTTCCTCTGGTGTGAACCACAGGCAGGCTGGAAAATCCCAGCAAAGATCTGCCTTTTTGCATGACCATAGTGAAAGGCTGGTGGTCCCTGTGGGTGTGGAGAACATTTAGTTTCTGCCATGGCCCTAGTGTGGGAAGGAGCTGCGGATGTCCAGGGAGGTAAGTTGAATGTGTGTCCTTGTGGGCCTCCTGCCACTCATTAGACCCACCAAAGAGGGGGTCCCCAGCCTCTACTCTGATCAAGGATGTAGCCAGCAACATCTGTGCTTGGGTGGTGTCTAGCTCCCTGCGTTCAGGAGGAACACTAGTTGCAAAACTTATAACCTGCAGTGCTAGAAATTAGGTAATGTTATAGTAATTCTGTATTTTTGTGTGACTGACTAAATGCCCTGGAGCAACAGGGAGGAGGGGTCTGGAGACCTCTCTCTAGGAATGAGTGTGTGGCAGTGTAATAACCCTGCATTGCCCTGGAGCCCTGTTAGTGCTGTCAGTCTGACCTACCAGGTGCAGAATTGCTTTTCTTCACCATCCCTCAGAAGTCCTGTAAACTGTTCACCAATGCTTAGAGATACTATTCTGGACCCAGCTGCTTTGGGCTAAGGACTTCAGCAAGCAGCATCCTGATAAAAGTGTTATTTGAGGGATTTGCAGAGTCTGTAAGTCTTCTGCCACCACCATCCCAGCAGTGTGTCCAGTGTTCCAGGGCCCTTGCTGGCAGGAGCTGGAGTGCTGTCCCCAGGGATGGAGCAGCTTGTCCCCCTCCCCCTGTACATACATACCTTCCTTTCATGCCCCTGAGCGAGTCATCCTCCCACAGCCTCTTGCCTAACCAGTTCAGTGGAATGCCTTTTGCCCAGACAGTCGCCGTGGTCGGAGTTTTCTTAACCTGGATCCATCCCTCCCCATAAAAGGCAGAGAGAATTCCTTTCCTTTTTTTTTTTTTTACTTTTTGTTATTTATTTGTTCTTCCTCATCTTCTGCAAATAATTGTGGGGATTTGCTGTGTGTGGCTTGATTAGGCACTGCTGAGCTCCCTGTGGGGTGGGTTTTTGCCTTGGTGATGGTGGTGTGGTACAGGATGTTGTCCTTTTGGGTTTGGATACTCAGCTTCATGGGCTGTGGGTGTCCCAAACCTAGTAGCTTGGACAGAAATTTTGGAGGTGCGATATATGCATTTCATACTCTCATATGTGAGAGCTGAAGCTCTGTGTCTGCTGTTCTTCTTTATACATAGAGGTGAAGATAACAGTTGACTGTAGGATAGACAGGAGGATGTGGAGGTGTCAAGGCTCTCAGCCTCAGCCCTTTTCCAATGACACATCTCAGAACTGGTGTTTGATTCCCAATGGAAACAAGAAGCCTTTCCCATATTTAGCTTGCTGTAGGTGCATGAAGGAGCCACCCAAGCCACCTTGTACAAAATACCCTCCCCCGCTGCAGCCCAGTGGGCTGTAGCGGAGCTACTCTGACCCAGGGTGGCTGCTGGCCGTCTTCTCCATGCTCTCAGTCTTGGTACCATGTAAATCAGTTCAGTAATTCATATTTGGCAGCTATGCACTGAATTCCTGGGTTCCCCATCACCTGGGAGCTGTGGTCAGGATCAGATGTGCAACACTACGATGGGCAGACAGAAAAAATTCCAACCTACTATCCAGAAGGATGTCTGTGGCATCCTATCCAAGGCTTTAATATTAAAGCATAAGCTCTAAACATTGTTAACTTTTAATTGCTTCCTTAAAAGTGTTGGTCTGGACTAGGAGGACTCCACTTGCTGCAAGGTAATGGCTGAAGAAGCAGATGAAAGCTGGTTAAGAGACAGTGAGACTGTGGGACAGGCTGGACATCCCTGTGTACCCACAGCAGGGCAGGGAGAGTGCCTTGGTGCAGGGACTGACTAACACATGGTATGTGCTTCTATGGGCTCTGGCAGGTGTTG